CCACTGCCTAATAGATTCTCATGTAGGAGACTCTGACAACCAACTGCTACGATTACCTCATTTTCGTGTGTTCTCTTGCTTTCTTATTTTAGATTGTAAGTTGTGTGAGGACATGGCCACATCTTACCAAGTTGCCTTGCAGCCACTAGAAGGCTCCAAAAATATTCAGTCCAAAACACTCGGTGTCCTCTTAACTCTAAGCAAAGAGTTGGACACGACTGAGCAACTTTCACCTCACTAATTCTGAGGAGCCTTAAAACGTCTCTTCTCTTAAACCTCAGGGCCTCCTTTAGAGGGTCCCTTTGGTATAGGCAGAAATGGAGAGTGACACGGATTCAACAGGGGAGCCAGGAGAGGAGGTCAGTGCACCCAGGCTCTGAGAAAATTCTTCTAAACAAGAATAAAGGCAATCAGACACTAACATCTTAATTAATAATTTTAATGGCTTATCCAAAATAATCCTCTTGATTTGGAAGGATTACATTCCACTTGACAAAACTACCAACCCATGTGGAAAGACGTCTCATGTGCTGCTCTTGTAGTTACAACAGGACCTGGTGGGACACAAGGGGTCATCCAGCAAAGTGATCCAGCCAAGTGCTTGGCTGGTGGGAGCCTTGTCTCCAGGCAAGCAAGAGAGCCCTGCACCAGATGCCAGCATCCTAAAACCAACAACAATCTGGAAATAATTCCAAACCTACAGAGAAGTTTTCAAAATGGGAATAGTACCCTGGTGGCTCAGTGGTAAAGAACCTATCTGTCAATGCAGGAGATGTGAGTTTGATCCCTAGGTTGGGAAGATCTCTTGCAGAAGAAAATGGCAACTCAGTCCACTATTCTTTCCTGGGAATCCCATGGATAGAGGAGGCTGGCGGGCTATAGTTCATGGGGTCACAGAAGAGTTGGATACAACCTAGCAACTAAGCAACAACAACAATTCCCCCATACAGCATTTCATTCAGTTCAGTTCAGTCGCTCAGTCATGTACGACTCTTTGTGACCCTGTAGACTGCAGCACACCAGGCTTCCCTGTCCATTACCAACTCCCGGAGTTTGCTCAAACTCATGTCCATTGAGTCAGTGATGCCATCCAACCATCTCATCCTCTGTCATCTCCTTTTCCTCCTGCCTTCAATCTTTCCCAGCATCAGGGGCTTTTCTAAGGAATCAGTTCTTAACATCAGGTGGCCAAAGTACTGGAGTTTCAGCTTCAACATTAGTCCTTCCAATGAACATTCAGGACTGATTTCCTTTAAGATTGACTGATTTGATCTCCTTGCTGTCTAAGGGACTCTCAAGAGTCTTCTTCAACACCACAGTTCAAAAGCATCAATTCTTCAGCGCTCAGCTTTCTTTATAGTCCAACTCTCACATCCATACATGTCTACTGGAAAAACCATAGCTTTGACTAGATGGACCTTTGTCAGCAAAGTAATGTCTCTGCTTTTTAATATGCTGTCTAGGTTGATCATGCTTTTCTTCCAAGGAGCAAGCATCATTTAATTTCTTTTAATCTCATTAGATTTACCTTTTTGCCCTTTCTATTAACTGTGGTCATTCTCTATTGTTTTTTCCTGAACTATTTGAAGAGTAAGTAACATATATATAAGCCGCTTACATAACACTTCAATGTGTATTTCATAATAATAATGCTGCTTTTGTGCATGAAATTCAACAGCAGAGTTATAACTTCACTAAACTAAACGTTACTATGATTCTTTCACCTAATCAACCATCTGTTCTCCAGTTTTGTGAATTGGCCTAATAATGTTGTTTATTGCATTTCTCCTCCATTATAGGATGCAATCTAGAATCAGGGATTGCTTTTAGTTCTTATGTTGATTTAGTTTCCTTTATTCTGAACTACATCCATAATTTTTCTTTATCTTTTATAATATCAATGTTTTTAAGGAATACAGTTCCTATCTAAATAACAAAATGTTTGTAGGTCCAAAATCCTAAATATTCCTCAAAATACTTAGAATAAATTAATTCAGGAAAGTTGTAGGATACAAAGCCAACACACAAAACTCAGCTGTGTTTCTATACAAACTAACAATGAATAATATGAAAAGGAAATTAAGAAAACAATCCCATTTACGATAGTATTCAAAAAGAATAAAATACTTAGAAGTAAACTTAACCATCGGGTGGAGAGGGAGGTGGGAGGGGGGACCGGGATGGGGAATACATGTAAATCCATGGCTAAATTCATTTCAATGTATGACAAAAACCACTGCAATGTTGTAAGGTAATTAGCCTCCAACTAATAAAAATAAATGGAAAAAAATAAATAAATAAACTTAACCAAGGAGGTTTTACCAAGGAGAAGAAAGACACTGAAAACAACAAAACATTGTTTAGAGAAATTAAAGACACAAATAAATGGCAAAACATTTAATACTCATGAATGGGAAAACTTATTAGTAAAATGTCTATACTATTCAAAGCAATCTCAGAGTCAGTAAAATCCCTATCAAAATCTCAATGGGTTTTTTTTTTTTTTCGAAATAGAAAAAAAAAAAACTTGAAATTCATGTGGAATCTCAAAGGAGCCCAAAAAGCCAGAACAATCTTGAGAAAGGAAAATAGAGCTAGTCTCTAGAAGCATATCACAAAACATAATAATCGAAACTGTATAGTGCTGGCATAAAGCCAGGCATATAGAGGCATGAAGTAGAATAGAAAGCCCAGAACTGACCTATATGTGGTCAACTGGTCTTCCACAAGTGTACTCTGGCTCCACAATGGAGACGGATAGTATCTTCAACAAATGGTGTTAGGAAAACTGGATATTCACATTCAAAAGAATGAAGTTGGACCTTTACCTTACACCACATACAAATATTAACTCAAAATGAATTACAGACCATGTATAAGACCTGAAGCCATGAAACTCTTAAAAGATAACATGGAGGAAAAGCTTCATGACTGGATTTAGCAATGATTTCTTGGATCTGACACCAAAAGTAGAGGCGACGAAAGTAGACAAATGGGACGACAGCAAACTTTAAAACTTTTGCACTGCAAAGGAAACCAAACAACCAAAGCATGAAGAGACAAGCTACAGAAAAGGGGAACATATTTATAAACCATATAGCTGGTAAATGGCTAATATCCAGAATGTATAAAGAACTCATAAAGTTCAACAATAAAAAACAAAAACAATCAATTAAAAAATGAACAAGACTTGAATAAACATTTATACAGAGAAGACATACAAATGGTCAATAAGCATATGAAAAGGTGCTCAACAATACTAAACATAAGGGAAATGCACATCAAAACCACAATGAAATATCACCTCATACCATGAAGATGGTCACTATCAACAAACAAGCAAACAAAGCAAAACAGAAACCCCCACACAGCCAGAAAGCAACAAATGTTGGAGAGGAAGTGGAGAAAAGGAAATTCTCACACAGTGCTGGTGGGGATGTTAAATGATGCAGCCACTATGGAAAACAGATGGACTTTCCTCAAAAAATTAAAAATAGAACTACCATATGATCCAGCAATCCCTCTTCTGCGGATATAACCAACAAATTGAAAATACGATCCTGAAAAAATAGTTGCACACCCATGTCCATAGCAGCATTATTCACAATAGCCAAAATGTTGAAACAACTTAAATGTCCATCAACAGCCATGAATGGATAAAGAAAATGAAGTATATACATATATATAAAATGGAATATTATTCAGCCTTTAAAAAGAAAGAAATTCTGACACATGCTAGAGTATGGGCAAACTTTGAGGATGTTGTGCTAAGTGAAATGAGCCGGGCAAATACTGCATAATTCCATTCATATGAAGTATGCAAAGAAGTCAAACCAGAAGAATGTAGTTGCCAGAGGCTTTGAGGGAGGGGAGCAGGAGAGTCCCCCAATGATAAATACAGATGACAAGTTCTGGAAATCTGTTACACAATGTGCATGTAGTTGACACCACTGCACTGTGCACTTTAAAATGGTTAAAAAAGTAAATTTTATGTTAGTGTGTTTTTACCACAACTGAATAGCTAAACAACCAAAACAGTCACCCTTTGCGGTTTGTCAGATGATTCCTCATGATTAGAATCTGTTTATGCGGGGAAGTCTGGGGGACTCCCAAAGTTGTGCTCTCCTCAGGGAGTCCTGGAGGCATGTGGTATCCACCTGGCTCTCAATGCCGATGTTAGTTTTAATGAAGACATGGTCTTATTTCTCCACTGGGTGGTTACTCTGCCTTCCTTGGCAGCTGATAGGCAATCTGGGGAAATACTCTGAGACTATGAAAACATGCTGCTTCTCCTGAAGTTAGCATCCATATATCCATCCTTGACAACCTAAGTTTTTATTATGATGCTGCAAAAATGATGCTTTTTCAACATGAAAACTTTTCATACATTTTCACCCATGAATTCTTTCACATTTACTGACCGGTACTTGACTTTCTGGCCTTCCCCCATGGCTCAGCAGTAAAGAATCCCCCTGCAATGCAGGAACCACAGGAAAAGCAAGTTTGATCCCTGGGTTGGAAAGATCGCCTGGAGGGGGGCATGGCAACCCACTCCAGTATTCTTGCCTGGAGAATCCCATGGACAGAGGAGCCTGGTGGGCTACTCTGTGAGACCATAGGGTCACAGAGTCAGACATGACTGAAGCAACTTAGCATGCGTGCACTTCACTCTCTGCTGTGGTGAAGGCCCTTCCTTCTCATTCATTCACTCATTCATTCATTGATCTCTTTATCACTGGTGCAGATTCAGAGAGCCCTATTTTCTAACAGCCTATAATGCACTATGTCCTCCACTATTCTGGTGCTCAAACTGGTCCAGAACTGGCCACTGAGAGCCTCTGTCAGCTGCTGCTCCATCTTTGTGCCCCATCATTTTTACAGCCCTTGGTTACTTTCTGGCAACACAAAATGTTCAGCACCTTTTCAAATCATGGGTAAAATCAAGAGAGAGGGAGGAGAAAAGGAAAGAAGAAAAAGTAGGATATCAGGGGAAGAGACAGATGAGCGGGAGTGTAGCGGCAGACTCGGATCCACTGGCCCCTCTGAGAGAGGCACCCAGCTTGCCCCAGAGAGCAGAGCCAGGCCCCCGGGAGACCAAGATGACTCTGTGCTACGCCTTTGGAGGCAACAAAGTTCGCATTTTGCTCATGATTCTGTTAGGTGGAGATGACAGAAACCCAACCCGGAACAGGAGGAGAGAGAGAAAGAGTGAGAACTTATTGGCTTATAAGCCTGAAAATAGTGGGGTTTCAACACAGCTCTGTTCAGTTGCCAGCCACGCTGGGTCTGGATGCTGGGGTGGATGCTGGAGACAGTTTCTGCCTGTCTGTCTGGTCTCCCTCCTTCTCTCTGTTGCTTTTATTCCTGGTCAGCCTCTCCTCCCAGGTTGACAGAAGTGCCCCCAGCCATGCTTAATAAACCCTGCTCACTCTGCACCCCTCCCGCTCAGGCTGACAGCAGCCCTGGGATTGCCCCGATGGCAGGCGCCGGAACCAGGCCCTGCGCTGGGTGGGGCGGTGCTCTCACGGCCAATGCGAGCTACCTGCTCCCCCTGGGGCCAGAAGGGTGGGCAGAGGCCCCCGAACATGTGGCGGGGCGGCGCCCCAAAGACCTTGGTCAGACTTTTACTGACAGGGAGGAAAGAGGTGTTGGGAAGGGCGACACAGAGTCACCGTGTGGGGAGAAGGGGGCCCTCGGTCCCCCGCTGTGACTTCAAGACGCACGGATAAACCGCAGCCCCGCCTCCTTGCTGTGACCACCACGGTCCCGTGTATGAACAAGGCCCCTGACGAGAAAGACGACCTGGAGCTCTCACCTCAAGACTGAGGCTCCCGTCCACCCAGCTTGCTCCTGGCAACCTGTGCCCACCAGCAGGCCCAGTGCTGCCCGCAGGGCGTCAGGGCCCAGAGCCCAGAGGAAGGGGACAGCCCGGCAGGCCGCAGGGTCCTCCCCCCACCCCGACAGGCCTCGTCTCATCACTCCTCCCCGGGCCTGGGCCCCACGGGGCAGTCCGTCACGGCAGGGTGTGATATCACGTCAGATGACAGCCCAGAGCGCCGGCACATAAGCTGACAGCAATCAGCTTATCTGGAAGCCACCCCAGCTGAGTAAAGGGTCATTATCAGAATTATTCACACAGACTTACAACAGCAGGAAGTCGGCAAAGGAGGCATTGCATCACCCTCACTTGAGTCACCGAGCACGGTTGAAGCCCAAAGGAGCCTGCCCTCCCCTCCCCTCTCTTCCCTCCTTTTCCTGGTTCCTCAGAGTCCTCTCCCTCCCCGAACCCACCAGCCGGCAGGGAGAAGTTACCTCAGGGCCCCCTCAGGCCTGGTCTTCCTTGCTGCCCTGAGTCTGTTTTCTGAGAAGAATTACACCCCAGAAGGTGAGGCCTCTGCAGGGTTGGGGGTGGGGGGTGGGGATGCTTCCCAATTAAACCCAGGCTTAGAATGGTCCCACCACCGGCTTTGGCATCAAAATGTCAAAACAAGCCATTTCATGGACCTGTTCCATTGCAGGTCTGGTTCCCACAGCCGCGGCCTGCTTAATACACATCCTGTGAAGGAAAAAAATGACACAGGATTCTGCGGGGGAGGCAGTTCCAAGGACTCGCAGACCCGCCGAACGTTCCCCCGCCTGCTCACGCGTGCCAGCCTGGTCCCCACCCTGCCACACCCACCCCTCCTGCACCTCTTTGCCCAACAAGCCCGCACCTGCAGCACAAGCACTCTCAGAACCCGCCCGGCACACACACATCCCCCTGTTCTAGCCAGGCAACCCCTGCAGGAGCTGTGGGAAAGAGGCAGGAGCAGCCAGTGTGGTTAACGAGGTGGGTTCAAAGGCGGGGGTGCCCCCTCACCACCCCCAGTAAGGACATCTGAGAACCACGGGCCTGGAACTTCAAGGCAGGCTCAGTGGGAGAAGATGAGGCTTGTGTGGAAGGGAGAGAACTCGTAGCCTGTGTACCAATTTACCCATAAAATATACTTCAACTTCCTAGCTGCGTAGACACTATTTCAAATATTGTTTTAGGCCCCACCCCACCCCCAGCTCTGGACACCACTGCTCCAGCAAACTGCATCTTAGGAACATGGCGATCCTGACCTGTTGCACAAAAGCAGGGTCTTGGTCCAGTGACTTTTTTAGGTTAGCATATTTTTAGGTTGGGCTTCCCTGTTGGCTCAGATGGTAAAGAATCTTCCTAAAAAAAAAAAAAAAGAATCTTCCTGCAGTGCAGGAGTCCTGGGTTTTGTCCCCGGGTCAGGAGGATCTCCTGGAGAAGGGAATGGCAACCCACTCCAGTATTCTTAACTGGAGAATCCCACGGACAGAAGAGACTGGTGGGCTATGGTCCATGGGGTTGCAAAGATTTAGACATGGCTGGACGACTGAAAAAGAAACAAAAAAGGGAAAGAAAAGATTTTTAGGTTAGATATTTTTAGTAACTGGTTCTTAGAGGCCCAGAGGCCAGAGTGTCAGAGTGATAGACCCAGGGCAGAGGAGCCAGGGTGGGTGGTTTAGGAGAAATCTGGACTGTGCCCGGCCTCCTTCTAGTCACCCAGAGGAAGGCAGGGACCTCCCAAAGCAGAGGGCCATGCAGAGAGCACCTGGGGATCGGCCCAGGGCTGTGTGTCTTCCCTAACCCCAGTTCTAAAGGCTGGAGTCTAGACTCCGGGTGTCAGCGGGGTCAGCTCCTCCCGAGGGGCTTGAGGGAGACTCTGCTCTGGCGTCTCTCCTTGGCTTGTAGATGGGCGTCTGCATCTTCCCCCTGCCCCGCGTACCCCCCAAGTGGGCTGTGTCCAAACGTCCCCTTGGTGCTAGGGCATCAGTCGTTACGGGACTGGGGCCGTCTCACTGACCTCATTTTAATCTGACCCCCTCTAGAAGCCTATTTCCAAATAGAGTCACATCTGGAGACACTCGTGGCAGGCAGCCTGCGTCTCTGTGAGGGGAGTCCACCCCAGCACCCTGGCTCCCTGGACTCTGCTCTCAGGGGACTGCGTCGGCACTGACGCCTCATAGCTTTTCTGCCACAAACTTTTCACGTGCTTCTGACAAACTCTCCCGTCCGTGGCTGACAGGGTGCTCTTAAACTCTGACAAGTCGTGAGGTCAAACGCCTGGGCTTTCTTTCTCTCAGGATCTCAGGGCCACTGGCCCCCAGGGCGGGAAGGCGTCTCGCGCAACACCTGCGCTGAGGTTGTGGGGTCTCCCCCGGACCCCCCTCCCAGCTCTCTGCTGCTCGGGGCTGGGGCCTTGGCGTCCCAGGGGAGAGCCGCAGACAGCGGATGGGCCCGCACGTGTCTGCTGGGGTCTCGGGGATGCTCCAGTTAAGAGGCACAGAGTCAGCGTGCAGGGCCTGACTGCATCCGGCAGCTCGTCCCAGCCTCTGACCTTTGCAGACAGGGACGTGGTGGTGGCCACCTCGGGCTTTACTGGCATCCGACAAGTGAGTGCCGGGAGAGTCACCGCATGTGTGCTTTTGTGAGCCCAGACCGGGCAGGCCCCCGCGTCCTGAGAACACGCGCTGTCTGGGGCAGGCCGCCCCGTCCCCCGTCCTTACTCCTGCTACGGGAGGTGAGCGGCTCCTTCCCAGCTGGGTTCCTGTTTCATCTCCTTCCTGTTAATTAATGGGGAGCTCCCACCTCTCAGCAGTGCCCACTATTCATCTCAGAACAGGCAAGTCTGAACACGGGCCCCCCAAGCACAGCGGAAGAGAAGACGAGAAGGATCAGGGCGCCCCTGGATGGGAGCCACAGGCCCTGGGTTCCAGCCTCGGGGAGCCGGTGTTCATTCTTAGGACACCACGTTCAGGGTCTTGGGCATCCTCTGCGGAGGCCCAGCCTCACCACACACAAGGCAGCGGCTGCCCTGAGGTGGACGGCCCACTGGCCACGGCCCACTGCCTACAGCCACGTTGGGAATGACTCAGGGCAGGGGAGAACCAGTGAGCGCCCCGGGGAGCCCCTGTTGCTTTTGTTTCCCAGCACCGCCGTAACACTAGGAAATGTAAAATCACTTTGTTAGAAAATTTCTCCCTCTGCTCACGCAGGTTTTGTAAAACCTGTCTAAAATGAAAATATTTTCTGAGAGTATTTTACCTTAGCAAGGAAGACTTCAGGACTGGGACACAGGACTTTTTAAGACTCCAAGATTTCACTGCAGGGGGCGCATGTTCGATCCCCGGTCAGGGAACTAGAATAATGCATACCATGCAACTAAATAAAAAAATTTATAATAATAATAATATTATTATGGGACTTCCCTGGTGGTTCCGTGGTTAAGATTCTGCCCTTCGAGCTTCCACTGCAGCGGATGTAGGTCTGATCCCTGTTCAGGGAAGTCCCACATGCTGCATGGTACAGCCAAAAAAAAACTGGGACACAAAACTCCCCCTTTGGTCAGGATGGGCTGTGAGGGGAGTTAGGGGGAGAGAACGAGCCGCCCGCTGAGTGGAAGTAAGCGCTGGAGAGGGATTCCGCTCAGGGGGAGCCTTGCTCTGTAGTTACCCATCAATAAATGTCAAGTTCCAGGCACTTCTGTCACCATGTCTACGAAAGAGGACAAAAGCCAGCTTGTGGTCAGGGAGCCCAAGGAAGGAGGTGGACTTGGGGAAGGTTAAGTCTGCAATTCACTTGTCTTGAAAAAATCATTTTTAGTCAGTGAAGGAAGTTTTCAATGAAATCAGAACCTGATACTCTCTCTTTTTTTTTTTTTCCTATTTACTGCAGAACATTCATGGGAAAAAAATCAGCATTTCTCAGGCATTTTTTTCCTTTTAAGAACCCTCACAACTGACAGGGTAAAGCACCACAACCCAAACAACACTTTCGTTTTTTCAAGGCATGAAAGACTCCAAAGGGGGCGTTTCTGCTGCAGCGTTAACATGTTGTTATAAACCTTAGGATCAAGTACTTTATTGATTGATTGATGGAAGCATAGTTAATTTACAATGATGTGATAGTTTCAAGGATAGAACAAAGTGATTCTGATATATATTAATATATATTATTTTTCAGATTCTTTTCCACTATTGGTTATTACAAAATATTGAATACAGTTCCCTGTGCTATACAATTGAGTACTTAAAATTGGGAAAACAATTGAAAAGAGGCCTACCCTGCTGTGTTGGGTATTCCAGGTGATAGAGACGGCCTTCTGACAGCCTACAAATCAGAAGACTGAGCTCCTTTGTGCAAGAAATTTGCATCAGACACAAAGATTTATAGTGAACGGCCACCAGATGGTGTCTTAGTTCCCCTCCAGCTCACACTCTGGCTTCCTTTGTTCCCTGATGAGAGCTGACATTTCATGGGAAGAGCAGTGCACGCCAGGGAAGATGGTGGGCCAAAGAAGCCACAAGGACGATTTTACTGTTCAGTCTGACAAGACTCCCAGCTCGTACATGCGGGAGCTGCAGCCAGTGACTGAGAGGGAAGTGGAGGGCATGCGTTTTCACATGGTGGATGCAACGACTAAGGATTTATCCACTCCCAGCATGCACTTGGACCTGACTCAGGGGTAATTGCTCCTGCCCAACGTGTTGGCGCTGGATTCATAGCTGATTTCTTGCTCATGGGGTGTCTGGGTGACCCTGCTCCAGGAGGAGGGAGACTCTGTTCGTATGGAACCATCTTTACGTAACACACTGACTTTCTAAATAAATCAAATGCATTTCATTTTTCAAAAAATTCTCTCTTTGGAGACTGAAATTACTTTTCTTTTCCACCAGGAAGAGAAAATGGGAATACACGTGGGTAAACTCAGTTCTAAATGAGCATAGTGACCTTTACCATTTTCTTCTCCTTAGTGGACATTTTTATGCTTTTCCCATAGACTTCACAGTTTGTCAGGATAACTGGTCAAACTTTTCTAAGTTACTAGATCTGCCACAGGTTCTTCCAGAATCTGGAGAGGACATGTGCTGTAATTATGACTTTGGGACTTGAGATCCTGTCCCCTCATGAAATAACCCTGTCCGCCCCCTTAAACTATGTATCCTCTCCTGGAAAATGTTTGGGGGCTGGCTGCCACTGCCGGTGTTACTGGTATATGTGCACACCCATGGAGGGCTTCCCTCGTACCTCAGTCAGTGAAAAATCTTGCCTGCGATGCAGGAGACCCAGGTTTGATCCCTGTGTCGGGAAGACCCCCTGGAGAAGAAAATGGCAACACACTCCAGTACTCTTGCCTGGAGAATCCCATGCACAGAGGAGCCTGGCAGGCTACAGTCCACAGGGTCGCAAGAGTCAGACATGACTGAGTGACTAAACCACCACCACACCCATGGACTTCAGGCAGAGCATTAATAAGGAAGAATCCTCAGACTTCCCTGGTTAAGACTCCACACTCCCAATGCAGGGGGCGTGGGTTTGATCCTGGTCAGGGAACATCCTGCATGTCTAATGGCATGACCGAAAAAATGGGAAAAATCCTTCTTCCCACTTTCTCCTTTTCATTCCCCAAGCCCCGTTCTCCAGCGTTTATCTCAGGGCGTGGAGACAACGCAGGCCAAGGCTGGACGGGCCAGGCTGTCGTGGCCCCACCAGCCAGGGAGAGCTGACACCTGGAGGACAACGAAGTCAGGCAGGCCTCAGGAAGCATCTCTATAAACAAAGTTAGTGGAGGTGAAGGAATTCTAATTGAGCTGTTTTGAATCCTCAGATATGACGCTGTGAAAGTGCTGCACTCAATATGCCAGCAAAGTTGGAAAACTCAGCAGTGGCCACAGGACTGGAAAAGGTCAGTTTTCATTCCAATCCCAATAAAGGCAATGCCAAAGAATGCTCAAACTACTGTACAACTGCACTCATCTCACACGCTAACAAGGTAATTCTCAAAATTCTCCAAGCCAGGCTTCAACAGTACGTGAACCATGAATTTCCAGATATTCAAGCTGGATTTAGAAAAGGCAGAGATCAAAATAAAGATCAAATTGCCAACATCCGTTGGATCATAGAAAAAGCAAGAGAGTTCCAGAAAAACATCTACTTCTGCTTTATTGATTACGCAAAAGCCTTTGATTGTGTAGATCACAATAAACTGTGGGAAATTCTTCAAGAAATTGGAATATCAGACCACCTCACCTGCCTCTTGAGAAATCTGTATGTGGGTCAGGAAGCAACAGTTAGAGTCAGACATGGAACAACAGACTGCTTCCAAATAGGGAAAGGAGTAAGTCAAGGGTGTATATTGTCACCCTGCATATTTAACTTATATACAGAATACAATCATGCTAAATGCCAGGCTGGATGAAGCACAGGCTGGAATCAAGATTGCTGGGAGAAATATCAATAACTTCAGATATGCAGATGACAACACCGTTATGGCAGAAAGCAAAGAAGAACTAAAGAGCCTCTTGATGAAAGTGAAAGAAGAGAGTGAAAAAGCTGGCTTAAAACTCAATATTCAGAAAACTAAGATCATGGCATCTGGTCCCATCACTCCATGGCAAATAGATGGGGAAACAATGGAAACAGTGACAGAGTTTATTTTTTTTGGCTCCAAGATCACTACAGATAGTGACTGCAGCCATGAAATTAAAAGACGCTTGCTCCTTGGAAGAAACACTATGACCAATCTAGGCAACATATTAAAAGGCAGAGATATTACTTTGCCAACAAAAGTCCGTCTATTTAAGGCTATAGTTTTTCCAGTAGTCACGTATGTATGTGAGAGTTGGACTATAAATAAAGCTGAGCACCGAAGAATTGATGCTTTTGAACTGTGGTGTTGGAGAAGACTCTTAAGAGTCCCTTGGACAGCAAGGAGATCAAACCAGTCAATCCTAAGGGAAACCAGCCCTGAATATTCATTGGAAGGACTGATGCTGAAACTCCAACACTTTGGGCACCTGATGCGAAGAACTGACTCATTAGAAAAGATCCTGATGCTAGCTAGAAAGATTGAAGGCAGGAGGAGAAGGGGATGGCAGAGGATGAGATGGTTGGATGGCATCACCGACTCAATGGACATGAGTTTGAGTAAACTCCAGGAGTTGGTGACAGACTGGGAGGCCTGGCGTGCTGCAGTCCATGGGGTCGCAAAGAGTCAGACACGACTGAGAGACTGAACTTTTAGATCTCTTTTCTTTTTATTAGCAGCAAGCCTCTTTCATTGATTGAGAATATCCACTTTGGTATGGCATGCATCAACTTCTTAACCTTTATTCATCTGGAAGGTTGATTCTAACATGCCATTTGCACGAAACTTCAAAGTGCTTCAGAAGAGCTAAGTGACCTTCCTTCTTTGTTGTTCAGTCACTTTGTGTGTTCAGGCACACCAGGCTTCCCTGTCCCTCACTATATCCTGGAGTTTGCTCAAGCTTATGTCCCTTGAGTCTCCCTTCTTGCCTGTCCCCTTAAGAGCAGAGCAGTGCAACTGATGGAAGTGTGCCCAGAGGAGTCAGACAGACTGGTTAAACTCTCAGCTCTGCCACGTGGATGTTGT